AACAACTGCGAATTCAAGTTAGGATAAAAGACAATTTTTTTTCAAATATACATAAAAATAGCTTCAGAAATATATACGATATTTTTTGGTGTGTCGAGTTTTGCAAAATGTACGCGCTTTAATTTAAATCTAAACCCAAAAATCGCATAAAAGTGTAGTTCACAATGATGTAATGACTTGAAACAATCCTGCCTATTTTTAAAAAGCGTGTAATTTTACACATATGTAGTTCAAACTTGAAGTTAATCGGTGATGCTGACTTCAGCGATTAATTGCGATTTGATTGAGCTATGAGGCCTGCCGACTTCGAAAAATGTTGATTCGAGAAAAACGCGTTTGAAATTCTCTGAAATGCACACTGAGAGAGACTGCACTAAAATTCAAAATTTTATTATTTAGATGACTTGGATATTTTGCTTGCTCGTAAACATTTAAGCATATTATCTAATGTATTACTTTAATTTATTTTAATAATTTAATTTTTAAGAAAATTGTGCATTTTAGGAAAAAAAAAGCGATTTTTCTAAACTTCTAGAGAGGATAGAAGTAGAATCTTTACTCGATTGTCGCTGTACTTTTCAATCATATTTTTCTATCATTTACATAAAATAGCAAACAGTCAAAGTTATCAAATGTTAAAGAGGATGTATAGTTAAAATTTAATATTTTTAAGAACTTTTCGATCGCTTTCTTTCAAATTTTGCATTTTGCCATGAAAAATTGCATTCTTTGAAAATGATGCAAAAATTTGTAAGTCTTACAATGCAAAATCTTTTCGATTATTAATAAATAAAAAAGTGAAAAATAATAAATAATTATTAAAAATTACTTTTACACAGAAACATCTTTTGTTAAGAGAATTTTGTAATTGTGATTAAAAGATTTTCAATTCGCTTAAAAAGTTTTTGAAAGATGGTGTAAAATTAACATTAAGGAGTCGTATAGGAAACGAATTTTCCCAGATACCTCCCATATTTTTAGGGTCAAAAATCCGAATAGATCTAAAAAATGTTTATTACTTACGTTATTCAAAAAATGCACGTTTTGTGTCAGATTTCATAGCATGAGATATCATCTTAACTTATTAATTAGCATATGTAAGTTAAGTCCTTAAGAATTGAGTCTTAATACGTCGAAATCTTATCATTAGATCAAAAGGTATTCGGCGTGATCACTTTTTTTTTGCACACTGTACGAGAACCTTTTTTTTTTAATTCAGCAACATAATAATCGCCCTTGAACCTCACATTTAACGGTTCTTGCTTTTTTATAGAATAAATTAATATTCCTCAAAAACACGATAAAATAACTTGAATGGCAAGTTTTAAAATTCAATAGCAACTTCTGTGAGGTATCTTAATTCTCATAAATCTAGTTCAGTGATTTTTCGCGACCCTGACCTTAAGGGTTCACCAGTAGTTGAAAATTAAACGGACTCCCAAGCCAAGGTAAAATCGAGTAATTCCAGATAAAAATAAAGATAGCACACGACCTTCAAATTTATTTATCTCTTTTTAAAATTTAAATATGCATTAATAAGAATTGTTTTATATTTAAGTCGTATCAAAGATTAACATCACAAATAAACTTCTTTTATTTGTGAGAATTGAATGGAGAATTGAGATGATAAAGAATTTTATCAAGGAACAAATGAGATTAAATTATCGTGAGAATATATAAGGATCCAATTGAAAGAGAATTTCGTTTTCTTAGGTTTATAATCTTAGATCTATGTCTTTGAAATACTAGTTATATCTGGTCGTTTTTAATTTTTAGCCACTTAAATTATCAATTATTTAAAAAAAATTTAATCAATTATTTGAATTTATCCATTATTTAAAAAAATTATTTATTGCATGAAAAAATTGCAAAGCTTTATAAACTAAAATTATTTTTGAGTTTTGTTTATTTGGTTGTGCTGAATGCTTAATTCTATGGCTGAATAATCGAAACTGGCTATATTGCACCAAACGCAATTTACATAATTTTTGTCAATTGAGTTAAATTTGATTGTATGGAGTTTTATTAAAGGAAGTGACATTAAATTCGAGTAGGAATACAATGAAAATCCAGATATAAGAAATTTCATTTTATTTGTGCTTATTCCTATATCCAAACATTTGAAACTTGCCTTGAAACATTTGAAACGTTCGTTTTAAATGCTTTTGTCATTTTACTTATTTAATTACTCAAAAAATTTAGAACTATAAAAAAATTTGCAAAACTTATTAAAATTAAATTTTGAGTTTCATTTTGAAGAAAGCAAAATTCTCTAACAGAATGATCGAAAGTGGCTATACTGCAGCAAAAGCAATTTACACAATTTTCGTTAATTTGTAAATTTGAGCTTGTTTGTATGAAGTTTTGTTAAAGGAAGCATGTTACGGACATTTTTCTTATTTAATTACTTCAAGAATTTCGAAATATAAGAAAAGTGAAATTTAATAAAATTATTGAGTTACATTTAGTTTGTTAGTTTAATGTAAAATTTAATGGTAGAAGTATAGAATGTGGCTATATGAATGAAGCTGCACCAAATATAATTTATTATAATCCAAATATAATTAATTATAAATATTATATAATATAATTTTGTTCATTGAGAGAAATTTGGCTGTTAAACTTAGTTGCTAAATTTGGTTGCATAATTTGGCTGTTAATAGTTGAATTTCATTAGAATTAATGAAACAAAATTTTTATGTGAATATAATGAAGACACATTTAAAAATAATGTTTTCGTTTTTTGTATTATATATCTATTTATTTGAAATCTTCATAATTTACGCTCGTTTTTAAAGTTTCTTTCAGCTACTTGTTTAATTAGATTAAGAATTTAAAAATCTGAGGAAGTAAGTAAAAATATAAAAATAAATATGTGAAAATATGAAAAGTTTGTAAAAGTATGTAAAAAAACTATTATTTTCGATATTTTCATTAAGTTGGTTCGTTCAATGCAAGTTTAATGTAAAAAAAAGAAAAAAAAAGACGAAAGTTGTTATCCGGAACAAAACACAATTTATCTAATTTCTATTAATTTATTGAAATTTGACGATAAAGGAATTTATTTAGAAAACTGAAACTGAGTACTCCTAATAAATTAGAATTCCAACTATAGAAATCTTTAATTGAAGAGTCAATTAAAAGAATTTTTTTTTCTTATATTTACTTTCTTACATTTATTTAATTGAAATCTTTTGCTTTTGAATATATGTAATTTTTGCTCATTTTTAATTTGTTAGCCAATTCAGTGCTTTGAAAAATATTAAACATGTATAAAACAAATTTGCAAAACTAAATTCAAATATTTTCGAGTTATAATTGATTGGTTGATAAAATATAAATTTCAATGGCAAAAGAGTCAAAAGTGGCTAAAAAACACAGAGTGCAATTTATAAAAATTTGGTTAATTGAGTGAAATTTCAGGATGTGCAGTTTTATTAGAAAAATTCTAATTGAATTATCATGAGAATATTATGAGGATCGATTAAATAGAAAATTTGCTTTTGTTATATTCATCTTTTTATATCTATTTATTCGAAACTTTCTTAGTTAAAGTTCTATTCTAATATTTTAGCCTCTAAATTATCTAATTATTTTAATATTTTTGAAAACTTAAAGAAATATATAAATCCAAATAAAAGCGTTTCTTGTTGCATTTGATAATCACGATACTTATTTTAGGTATGGAACTCTTAATCTTCATAGGTTTCTAGTCATTTTACACATGTACTCTGCGCTGAAAAAAACCTAATTAATTTAATAATTTTTCATCAAAAGATTGGATTTTAACGTATTAGAAATTAATCTTAAATGTTACTACCACATAACAGTACTAGTACATGAGTAAATGTATTAGTAAATAAAAGAACTGTTTTTATTGTTTAGTCTAGTTTACAACGGCTTCCTAAAACTGAATGCACAATTTTTGCCAGAATAAACACCATTTAATAAATTATTTTATTTTTTTCTTCTTAAAAAGTATCTCAAAACCTAATAAAAATGTAAAAATATCTAAGTACTCAAATTTTGAAATTTTGGAAACTCCATCACACACCACTTAAATGTATTTCATAATGAGTGATGATATTCTTTACAGAAATAATGGTGATTATTACATTTTACTGCATATTTTTTTAGAAACTTTTTTTTTCTTGCGGAGGAGAATAAATTTGAAAGTGTTTTCAAACCAATGAATACAAATGTTTAAAAAAAAAACTCTTAAGTTTGTATAATCGAAAAAAAATGAAAAGGTTGTCGTTTGTGCCATACGACATCGAGGAAAAAGAGGCTTTTTAGAAGAAATACTGTACAATTATCATTTTGTTTACTATCGCTTTGGAGAAAAAATTTCAGTTCACAAATTGCTAATTTACAGACCTTTTTTTGAATTTCAGTGAATTCCCTTGCTCTTCTCCAAAAATGTGCTTTTCTATTTCATCTTTAAAGTACTCTAATCTTTTACAAATTTCAGTTTGAGGTGAACAAAATGATTGCGAAATCATGACAAAAAAGCACTTAATAAAAAAGAAAAACTGCAAAATAATTAAACTTGATTCTTTGAAATAAATGCTGAAACATTATGCAATAAGTGATTTTAGTGAGAACCAATACTTTTATTAAAAAAGTTGGTTAGTAAACCACTTGTGATTCGCTTCGCGTAGATAAGTGAAACACGCCTGTTATATATGTTCATAAGTTATACGCTTAAATTGGTACGGAAATTTCAAATAAACATATATTTTTAAACTACTCATAATTAAAATAAAAGTATTCAGATTATCAATGTTCGTAATGAATAAGTTAAAAATCTATAAAAAAATTATGAAAAATAAAGTAGTATAAAAAGTTTAACGTCTAAATTACTTGCTTCCATGGCATGGTGGACTCAACTCTAAAACAATTTACCGCCAGGTGGTGTAATTGTATCATTTCGTGTAATTTTATTTTTGATGTTTTATTTATTTTCATCGCTAATACAGGCACATTTTTTATTATTTCAGAAATGGACTGCGATTATCTTTCTGATCTCAATTTTCTGCAGTGCAATTCCCTCTGGTGGGGAAGAGATCTTCAGAGATAAACGCGCAGTCAAAGGTGGTAGAAAAACTGGATCAGGATCAACTAACATTGGAACAAGTAATGATTTTGGAGGACATGATCATAATGGTGAATGGTGGAAAGAGTGGTGGCAAAAATATATAGGTGAAGTTACAGATCCTACGGTTCGGCCGTTAATTTTTCCTACAGATGAATATGGAAACAGAGTTCCATGCCCTTGTCTTTTGCCTGGAACTCCTCCACAACCACCCGTTAGGCCACCGCCTACTCAACCTCCTGCGCGGCCTCCACCTGTGAGACCACCTCCAACGCAGCCGCCGGCCAGACCTCCTCCGGTAAGGCCTCCTCCACCACCCCCACCTCCACCAACGCAAAGGCCTGTCAGACCACCTCCCCCACCCCCTCCAACGCAGAGGCCCATTAGAATAAA